CGAAGGATGGCAAGTGGCCTACGAGCGCTACGGTACATGAGTTCAGCACCAGCCCGCTGAGCATGTTCTACCTGCCCTTCAGAACATACAAAGAGACAGATGACGAGGACGTATGCCTCAAGTACCTTCCTGACGGTAACAGCAAATTTGGTGCTGTGGAGGTTACCACACCTGAACACGGAGAGCAGAGCTTTGTCAACTACAGGCTGTTCATCGACGGAAACGAGGCTTGGACGCACAGCATCAGCACACCACCAGGGAGGAGTGGTAGCCATAGGGCGAAGGATGCCGTGTGGGGATAGTGGGTGCTTGGAAATGGCAGAGTCGAAGGTGTTTTCGTTAGTTTTAGCCACATGTCTTTTTCCAGAAATGAGGAACAGAGCTCCTGTTTTGAGGAATAGTTTTCGTAATCTGGGTATCTTCCATTGATATCATATGCTCCAATTTCATCCCCACTTCCTCTTCGCTTTCTCCTCGTCTTCCTTGGTCCACTCCCGTGGTAGTACGGCGAAGACAAGATACGAGGTATGCGTCTTGAGCTCCGGCTCAGTCCTATGCACCAGCCTGCCCTCCTTGAACAATGTCCGACTCTCCATGTCCTTCTTCGACTGAGCAAGCCTGTCATGTTTACTCGGCGGCACGCCTTCCATCTTCTTCTTCTTGCCCTTGCCCTGGCCCACGCCGTCTTTATCCACGTTCTCCCCGCGTTTCCGCGCCTCAGCCTTTCGCATGACTTCTTCCTGCTTCTCGCGCTGCATGCTGTGGAACACTGCAGCGCGGCCTTCTACGTCCCTGAGTCTTTGTACCGCTTCCTGGACGTTTGCGGGATGTGCATTGCCACCGCGAACACCTTCTTCTTGCAGACCGACGCGCTCACGACGTACATCGAGGCGCTTGGCGTTGATCTCTACCATGTCTATTTCCACCCAGCCGAGGGTGCGGAGGGCGGACACGGTCTTTGTGACTTGTTCGATGCAGGGCGAGAACGTGCAGATACGGACTGCGTTTCGCGGGTTGAGGGGGCTGCGGAAGGGTTTCGAGGAGGAAGTGTTCGGTGGTGGTACTTCGGTTGCGGGTTCGTCTGGCGTGGATGGGTCTGAAGCAACGGACTTCAATGCGGCGGAGGAGGGAGGGGAGCGCGTGAGGTGTTTGAGGGCGTGCCATGGCGCTGGCAGATCGAGAAATACACAGTCGGCGTCTGGGCCTGTCGAATCTTCGAGATTGAAACCGTCGTTGTATACGTCGCGATGGGTTACTTTGACTAGAGGTTCCAGGCCGTGCTCCTTGATCTCGAGCTGTAGCTGCTCTGCGCGCGGTTGGTGGTACTCAAAGCTGTATACGCCGCCAGTCCGTGTCTTGCGCTTCCTCTTCTTGGATGTGCCCACTGCATTCTCCTCGTCGCCGTTTGTCTCGGGCTCTGTAGCTTGTGTCCCCGGGTAGCCATTGTAGACGGCTCGTACCGATGCATGCGTAAAGCTTCCACTGCCTGCGCCGGCCTCGATTATGTGGTCGCCCGGCCTTGCGCGCAGTCTCTGCAATATGTAACTGTAATCGGGCGTGTATACGACTTGGGTGCGGTGCGGTAACGATATCGTCCACATCTCTGGTGTAGGTGGTATGAGATGCGCAAAACCACTACTCGCTGCAGCAGCCTTCACTATATCCTTCTTCGCCGTATCCGGCTCGGCGACTGGTGTGCCCTCTCCTTCATCTTTGGTGTCTCTCTTGCGCTTCTTGTTTTTTCCGCGCGACCCAGTGTCGACAAGGGACGCAAGAATTTGCGTGCCCCAGGGCTGGCCGACAAGTGTGCTATGTGGGAAAGAACCGAATCGCGTGTTCTCAACCTTGCCTTCAGGATAGTCGGAATCGGCCTCGGGTCTCAAGACGGCAGGAATAAGTTGATCGCGGCGCAATTGCAATATACCGAGATTATCTGCGGTCGCGCAAGTCCCCGGGTCAAGGAACGGGGAAGGTGTCGTCGCCATGGGTGTAGGAAGTCGCGACAGACCAAAGATGTGGAGATGATGCGATCGCGACTCGGAGCTCCAGAGAACAAAAAGATATTCAGCGGGGAGCTTTCGAAGACGCTATTGGAGGGGAACGCCAAGCCCTCACTGACAGGGATTCTTATTGCTCACTCAGAGACCACCAACAGAACGTGACGAGAACATCACTTACTGACTCACCGTAAGCGGCTCCCGGACTTACACCTGGCCTGACTACTAGCACCGTTTCCCGTCACTCCTTACAGTCCCGTTTCCCGCCACATTGATGGTACTTGCTTTCCGGTCCTTGTCCCGCACCGTCAAATCGCCTTCCCCACTTCTACTCTCGAAAACCAACTGCACTTGGATACACCGGAGTCAGATATCGCCAAGATCAGCAGCCAACATGGCGACACCGGCGCGCACCCAACCTCCATGGAAGGAACCCAAAGATTCAAGCCCAGCAAAATTGAAAGTCTGGAACTCTTTGACGAGATCAAAAAATGACTTCATACCTATCGACCCTGAAGGCAAAGAAGTCAAGTGGTACAGCTGCGGTCCTACCGTCTACGACGATGCACACTTGGGTCATGCTCGGAATTACGTCACAAACGACATTCTGCGGAGAATCCTGGCCCACTACTACGGTTACAGGCTGAAGTTCGTTCAGAACATCACAGACGTTGACGACAAGATCATCCTGCGCGGGCGCCAACAATATCTTCTTGCCAAGTTCAAGGCCGATAACCCAACTGTAACGGATGAAGTTGTCAACACCACCATTAAAGCTTTCGACGCATATGTCAAGAAGAACCTCCCTCTACTCAATGAGGATGTCAACATCGGCAGCTTCAACAGCGATTCTGCGGAGAAGTATGCCAATGTCATCCAGGGCAAGTCCGTCGACGGTGTCGGTCCACCAGGCGACAAGGAAGCGAAGATCAAAATGCACCTCCGGACGGCCAGCACAGCAGTCACGTCGTTGCTGGCTCCATCGAAGTCGACCCCTGAGGACGTGGAGATTTTCTATGCTGGCGCTGAGGACGTACTGTTACCTTACCTCGACTCACTATATGGTTCAACTATTGATGCCAGCGACCACTCGGTTTTCACAACACTCACCAAGAAGTACGAAGCGCGCTTCAACGAAGACATGCGAGCACTCAACGTCCTCGATCCGGATGTCGTCACTCGCGTGACTGAGTACGGTGATGATATCGTAGCTTTTGTGGACAAGATTATCAAGAACGGCATGGCATACAGCACATCGGATGGATCTGTTTACTTCGATATTGAGAGTTTCGAGAAGAGAAAGGGGAACCACTACGCACGCTTGGAGCCATGGAACAGAGGTGACACCAATCTGCAAGCAGATGGCGAAGGTGCCCTGTCAACAGTCAAGACCTCGGAAAAGCGCAACGACTCTGACTTCGCGCTCTGGAAGTCATCGAAACCGGGAGAACCAGCATGGAAGAGCCCATGGGGTCCGGGTCGGCCAGGTTGGCATATCGAGTGCTCAGTCATGGCTTCGGCCGTTCTAGGCGAACAGATGGACATACACAGTGGAGGTATCGATCTCTGCTTCCCGCATCACGACAACGAACTAGCACAGTCAGAAGCCTACTGGCAAAAGGAAGGTGGTGCGCAGTGGGTGAACTACTTCCTTCATATGGGTCATCTGTCTATATCAGGATCCAAGATGTCAAAGAGCTTGAAGAACTTCACCACAATCCGCGAAGCCCTGAGTCGCGGTGATTGGAATGCACGGAGTTTGCGCATCATCTTCCTTCTCGGAGGCTGGCACGACGGTATCGAAATCACACCAGACATGCGAAAGTCGGGTTCATCATGGGAGAGCTATGTCACCAACTTCTTCTACAAAGTTCGGGATCTTGAAGTACATCCAAACATCAGTTCGACCTGTGCTGAAGACGAGAAGGTGAAACAGTCTCTCGAATCTGCGAAGGAGAAAGTACACAGGTAAGACACGAGAAGATGGATATCGAAACTTTTACTAATGTAGCATCAGTGCGCTAGCCGACTCGTTCGACACACCTACCGCTATGCGTGCGATTTCCAGCCTCATCACCGAATACAACTCAGCCGACAAGGCTGGACTGTCTGACGATGTCTCATTCGACGTCGCTCGCTACATCACTCGCATGGTCCGGATATTCGGCCTTGACGGTTCAGCTGACCCTTGGGATGGTGGCATCGGCTGGGCTGGCATTGACATTCCTTCAGCCGCCAAGGAGCACGTATACGCTGTTTCACGTGAGCGCGACCAAGTAAGGCAGCATGCCATCGCCGGTGATCTCAACGAGAACCTAGATTCTATCATCGCCCAGCACAACCCCGCGAAGCAACAAGACATAGAAGCAGTCCCATACGCCGAAGTCCTTTCCACCTTCCAACAGTCTCTACAAGACCTCGCGAAGAAGCAAGCACCAGCAAAGGACTACCTCGACCTATGCGACCAGCTGCGCGACACGCACCTTTGGGATCTCGGCATCTACCTCGAAGACCGTGAGAACGCGCCCGCCATGGTTCGCCCAGTCGATGCCGAACTGCAAGCCGCCCGCTCTCAGAAAGAGGAGATCGCTCGCCAAAAGGCCGAAGCTAAGCTCAAGCGCGAACGTGAGGAGGCAGAGAAGAAGGCTAAGCTTGCGGAACAAGCTAAGATCAACCCTAAGGATATGTTTAGGACTGAGGAGTACAGTGCGTGGGATGAGGATGGTCTGCCGACGAAGGATAAGGATGGTGCTGATGTGGCTAAGGGGAGGGTGAAGAAGCTTAAGAAGGAGTGGGAGAAGCAGAAGAAGTTGTTTGAGGAGCATATGAAGGCTTGATCTGGTGGTGTTTCAAGCACGTTGGGCTTGGGCTCGCGAAGCATTTGAGGCATGTTGGGCGTTTGAAATGCTAGTATAGCTCTAGCATCTTCTAAATCAATTGAAGTTAGTCGACCCAACAAAAACCACCAAGACAGCACAATACGCTGCGGCTGCGGCAAACAACTCATGCCTCTTCGCCTTCGTGAGCAGCGACATAGCTGCAGCAAACAGCAGCGTGAAAACCATCAAAATACCAATAGCCGCGAATACGCATTCCGTCGTCTTGATAGTCGAGAGACGATACATGGCCAACACCGGAGCTACCAGTAGCAAGAAAAGCGCAATAGTAATAAAGAGATTGACCAGCGTCGACACCCTCGAAGGAGCAAAGTAGTAATTCCTCTCATCCGTGGATTTACGCCTCTGATCCTCGGTCCGAAAGAGCCACTATGGGTTGTAAGTAAAGCCCGAAGACCTGAGATACATATTATACTCACTTGAACAAGTGGGCCATCCATCTTATGCAGCAACGCTTCGACCATACCGTCGAAACCCGCCCACTCCCTCCCATGTCTGAGCGTCACGATATCCTCTTTCCAGAGTATGTAGTCTTGCTCCTCGTCTACGAGGGGCGCAATATTGTGGAACCAGTTCCTTACGCTTCGGTAATCACGTTCGGTCGGTCGTTGGAAAGAGACGAGCTCTCTTGCTTTGATCAGTAGCTCGTCGTATTGGTTCACTTTAATCCTCAGTTCCTCTAGGATATCTTCTCGTGTTCGGGCTTCGTCTTCGTCTCCGTCTTGTTTTGCTTCTTCTTTCTCTTGTCTGCAGGCTGCGACGTCGAGATCCCAGGATCGCAGGCGCTTCTTGGAGGCCTCGTTGGGAAGGGTGTCGTGGAAGCGGTCAATGTTGTCTAGCTCGGCTTCGAGCATCTGAATGCTGCATTGGAGGCTTAAGAGGAGACGTGCGTGGACGTTGCTGAAGCCGCGGTAGAGCATGAAGTTTTGTTCACTTGAATTGTAGGCTGCAAGTCGTGCGTAGCCGTTCGGACATTTTTCGAGTGTTCGTACTTTGGTTGGATATGGCCCTGACCCACCGGGTGAGAAGATAGGCCCATCTTCGTTTTCACCATCTTCGTCCTCGCCAAGGGGAGACTCAGGCTTCGCCTGCTGTTCTACATCTGCTGGCTTTTTTCTTGGTAGCAACAGTCCGAAGCTGTTCGCTACTTGTCGCAGTGAGTTTAGAGTTGTGCTGGAACGAAAAGTGGATGATGAAGATGCGTTAGAGTACCGTGTACAGGGGCTGGAGAACTCCTTTTCCGTCGGCGATGCGGGGGGAGGACTCATGATGGAAGGGGTCTGAACATGAAGAAATTATCAGACGATGGAAGATATGAGAGGCGTCTCTAGCAGATAGGAATAGTTGACATCCTCAGCTGGGAACTAAATACTGATATGCATCTTGACCGGTCAAGCCTCGTTATACTGATTGGTCCAGGTGTCTCATTTAATCACGTAGACATCGGCCTGAGGAAACCACTTCCCGTTCATGTAGAGCTTCGTGGTATCGTCCTTCGTCTCAGTAAGTTGGTACTCTGTCTTTCCTTTCGCGTTCTTCTGGCTAAACGCGACATAAAGCTTCTTCCTCTTCAGCTTGTTGTTGATGGTTTCTGTGATCTGGATGTTGTTTCCGGGAACGTATTTTGCGACGGTCTGCGACCAATCAGCGTCTAGACTTACCCTCGACAGGGGAGTGCATGGCGCTTACTTCAGCCCCCAACCCTTTCTCTGTCCCTGCACGATCCCTCGCAACCTTTTCCGTCTGCCCATAGTTAGTGCGCAACACACAAGGAACTGGTAGATAGGGCCATACCTGTTGTTGGTCATTGATATGCCCCTCCGGCGTTGTTTGTCGTCCTTCGTCGGTCATGACTGCGAGTAAGAACCTTGGAAGAGTGGGAAATGGGCCTCGTTGTCAGCCTTTCATATCAGGCTGAGTCAAGGCTTTTAACGCCCGCTACATCTTCAGCTGAAAGCCGCTCACTGTCGACATGGTGGGCGAGGTGCAGCGTGCCGGTGAGCTATCATTGCTTTTCTCGCAGGCAGCAGTTTGCCTATTGTTACTGATCGTTCGCCTATCCTGACCCCGCCAATCATCGCATAACGCTAGGCATTCTACGAGGCGGAGTCCGAGAAGCATTAGCCTTTTGGAGCGTGGAGGACCTTCCATGTGATCGTGTGGCTAGTATTACCTGCATGCTGGCTAATCAATATATCCAGTGGCTGACAGGCATGATAGGGGCCATGACCAAGCACAGCCTCAGGTTCGCGGCCCCCAAAATGTGTATGACTAGGCTAGATATGCGAACGTGCAACACGTTCGTCAACAGGAGTCAACCCTGATCACCATTCGCACCTCCAGTTATTCTCGCATCATGGCACCGCTAAGTCGTTGCGACGTACCCAACCCGCTGTCACCTAGATCATCGGTGAACGATACTAGCACCCTTCCTTCGCCTTTAAGCCTCAACCCTGGAGAAATTCGTTCTTCTCGAGATGATCAGCATGAAGCGAAACTTCAACAATGCTGGGACAAATCAATCGCAAACTATCTGGATCTGCCAGATGGATACCGGAATGTACATGTTTTGGTGATCAAATGGCAAGACGCGATAGATCAGCTGAACGTGCGGCAAGAGGTATGAAACGAATCTGTGGTCTGATTATCTTGGCATTTTAATACTAACTCTACACCCATTAGGTCGACGACCTGACTAATGTCTTCAAAAAGGTCTTCAATTACGAAGTGACCGAGCTACAACTAGAAGAGAAGAGTCCGCAAATCCAGCTTGAGATGGAAATATTAAACTGGGTGTACGAAAACGATGATCCAAACAATCTGCTTATAGTGTACTACGCCGGTCATGGTGTTTATGACCAAGCTCTCAAGGTCCTCGAGCTCTCACCGTACATATACCAAAGCAAAATCCACAGAATATAGCTAACAGCGACTCCAGGACTGATGAGGAAGATAGTACCCTTCGAGCAATCTGGAACGACGCCGAGAGGACACTAATCGAGAAAGTAAAAGCAAACGTCCTCACTATCATGGACTGCTGCTACGCCGGCGATCTTATGCGCAACGTCTCCGAGCACGGTCGAACATTCGAGATGATAGCCGCCTCACGTATGGGCGCGCCCACCCCTGGGCCCGGTGAGAACTCTTTCACTCGTTGCCTCATCAGGCAGCTGAAGGTGTTAGCCGTGAAGAGTTCCGGTGGCTATGGCAGTTACTTTGACACCCATGAGCTTGTTGAGCGCATAGAAAAGGAACGCCCTGACTCACCTCCGAGACTATTCCGGCGAATCCCAGGCAGCAGCCGACACATTGAGTTGAGGAGGCTCAAGCCAAAGAATGAGCGTCCGACGCAGAAACCTAGCATATCGTCCCACGCACGCTTTCTGCATCTGGGGTTTGCGCTAAAGCATGAGACAATTGACGAGAAGCAGATCCAATACTTGACGAAGGAGCTTCCGGCCTTGTTTTCGAGTATACGGCTTCCATTGGTCAATATCAAGTGGTTGGGATGTAGGAAAGAGGGCAAACCGACGCTGAAGGATATCGTGCGCTTCGTATCAGAAAATCGGACAGCTCTTTCTGTGGTTACGCCGCCGCCTTCAGGGAGGAAGAGAAGTGCTGATGAGGCAGATTTGGAAGAGTCTGTGTCTGATCGACGGTGGTCCAAGCAACCGATGTTGAATACATATGTCTCTCTTGGGGAGTAGATGTCACACTCGAACGATAATCCTCTCGCATACCGTGTTCTATGAATAACGCCACCTAATCGCTTACTGCCTTGAGTGGTAAGGAACCTACTGTATATCGGCCTATAGAAATTGCCTTCTTCGCATATCTGCTCTTCCCTTTCTCTCGATCCCTCTTCCGCGCGCGCTACGGTAGACTGGCTCGAATTGTCCGAGGTCGTGTATGTATCTACTGTGTCGACGGGTCAGCATAGGCAGTATACTAGAGATGCAGCTGCAAACCACACAGGATGATCGGTTTGTCAACAGAAAGCTGGTCACTATACGCGACAACTGCATATATGGATCTGGAAATGTCCTATGTGATCCATACAACGTCTCCGCTCGTTATGCTCGCCAAAGCCTTCCCATCTTCAACGAGATGCGCAACATCGCGCAATGGGTGTGGGAGTATCTCGAGCAACGCCTGTACAAGAAGCGTTTCGACCCGGTACCCACCATGAGTTCAACAGTATTCATCGAAATTGCATTCAAGAACGGCGGTGTGCCGTTCCAGACTGACGCGTAGTCTCAAGCTGGTACGTAAAATTTTGTCCTTGTTGTTTACTTCGAAATGCTTACTAATGTACGAAAAGGATAGCGATGCCATCTTTACGCGATCCACTACGCGCACCTCTGCTCCTCAATTTACAGAGAGGTGTTAGTACTGTTATATGCCACGGTCCTCCTCGTAGCGGCATTGCGACGCAGATGACCAGGTATGGTGGCGAAAGCAGGTCGGATCGAGGTTACTACATGTTCTGGTCGCCCAAGCGGATAGAATCTTGCTCTGAGGGCGTAGTTATCCGAAATGATCATGAAAGTCAAGTTCCGATGTGGATTGTGGTGTCGTGTGGCAATGTTGACGGAGCCGTAGGGCGCGCATTGAAGATCGACGACACGACTACCAGATCTAATTAGCCTGAAGCTTACCAACGCGGTGTTATTGCCGAAATTTTGGGGAAGCAGCCACAAGCTTTCCCCATATCCTCAGGCAAAGCTTCGCAATTGGACATCCTGCGTGCAGCATGCATACAGATCCAACAACCAAGCTCAAGATGGTATCGGATCTCAGTTAGCCTCCGCGGCCGGAGTGTGGGGACAATGAGTCGAAAAGATGGTTGACCGTCGGATAAAACACCGAAGGATGCGCTTCTTTCGCATACCCACACACCAGCCACACCACTTCTTGGAAGCCGTAGTCTTCTGTTTTCCTTATCAATCCAGGCAATTGACAACATCCCTTCCGGTCCATCGAGATGAGTGCCAATCGCGATGTGGAGAAAGCCACGATACCGGAGTTCGGAGAAGCGAATACCGAACGCCATTATGACGCGTCGTACGCCTCAATAAGGGTTCCATCAAGATCAGCATCCCAGCACGAAGAGGAGGAGATTGAGAGGATACCAACAAACGCGTCTCGTGCGTCTCATACATCTCGCACCAAGAAGTCGGTAATCGGACTGGCTAAGACTATTACCGCTCGTTCGAATGCATCCGTCATAGACCCTGGACCACCGCCGGACGGCGGCGCGAAAGCTTGGGTGCAGGCGTTTATGGGCCACTTCGTTATCTTTAACACGTGGGGGATGATTGCGACATTCGGCGTTTTCCAACAATACTACACGCTCGACCTGGGTCTGGAACCATCAGCCGTATCCTGGATCGGAAGCTTCCAGATGCTGGGTCACTTTTCGCTGGGCATGTTGACCGGGCGTCTTTTCGATGCGGGATACTTCTACTGGTCCGTGATACCTGGCATGCTCGTTTCCTGCCTCGGAATGTTCATGACCAGTCTGTGCACGAAGTACTGGCAGATCTTCCTTGCGCAGGGTGTCATGAATGGAGTTGGAAACGGGATGCAATTTGCGCCCGTTCTGGGACTTGTCAGCACATACTTTGCGAAGAATCGGAGCGTGGCACTCGCGATCATGGCTAGCGGCAGTGCGACGGGTGGTCTCGTCTACCCAACTATCGCACGACAACTAGTTCCCCGGATCGGTTTCCCGTGGACAGTCAGGGTGATGGCTTTTATGATGCTAGCTGTGGGTGTATGTTACAGCTCCCTGTTGAAACCACGACTGCCTCCGAGAAAGTCTGGCCCTGTGCTTGAACTCAGCGCGTTCAGAGAAATGCCGTATAGTGTATTCTTGATGGGAGTCTTCCTCATCGCCCTTGGGCAGTACTTCGCCTTCTACTACATCTCGTCGTTCGCGATCGACATCCTTGGTCTACCATACGCAACCTCCATCAACATTCTGCTAGTCCTGAACGGTGTCGGTGTCCTTGGTCGTATCGTGCCATCCTATTTTGCCGACAAGTATACTGGGCCGTACAATATCCTAATACCCTTTTGCTTTGTCTCCGCTTTTGTACTATACTTCTGGCCGCTGGTCAACAGCGAACCTAGCCTTTACGCGTGGGCGGTGTGCTATGGCTTCTTCGTCTCGGGCTTCCAGGGTATCTTCCCGGCTGTGATGACTACGCTGACAAAGGACATGAGTAAAGTAGGCACGAGAAACGGTCAGGGCCTTGCGATAGTAGGATTGGGTACATTTATCGGGCCACCGATCGCTGGAGCGCTGATACAGAGTAATGGTGGAGGTTATCTCAGTGCGCAGATATTTGCTGGGACTGCAGTGTTATTAGGAAGTTGTATATTGGTTGTGGGACGATGGAGTATCACAGGATTCAACCTGAAAGTACGAGTATAGAATAGCAAACGAAGCGACGCAAGCTATGACAACGCCTATTCACCTAGTCTCACCATCGCCCTAAACCGCGCGTCTTGTCCTTCGAAGCCTTGGAGCAGCGATACCTCTCGCCGTCTTCTTCCCACCACCGATCGGTATATACGTCCCATTCAGTCCACACCCAAAGTTCTCACACGTCGAGATAGTATGCACATACCGGATCTTCCCCTTCTCGACGCGGAAAGTATGACTGTCCGGCGCCGGCGTGTCACTTGCCCTATCCAACCCCGGAAATCCCACATAGATATTCACACTTCCCATCTCAACATCAACCACATACCGCCGATCCTGAACATACACTGTGCTCGGCAGACCCAAAGAGCAAGTCTCGCCATTCGTCATACTCGTATCAGTATACGCACCTCCCTCGAGCCTGGCACATGGCGTACCAAACGGAATAGTAACATTGACATTGCCAAAGCGGTCGAAGTACGCATCGCCAGCCGCCTTGATAACCTCGCGGGTATCCTGATCCGCAAGCGGAATAGGCGACCAATCCTGCATCGCATTCCAGTACGCCGTACCCGTAGCATTGAACAGCCAATCCCCCTCATCACTAACCAGCGTCTCCATCTTGGTTACAAACTTCCCATTGCCCTCTACGCGCACACCGAGAACATACGGGTGGCTTGACTCTGCCACGATGATCTCGGTGAACGCGCTGCAGAGATACGGGTCTAGGAAGACGCGCGAGTTGGTGCTGTTGAGGGGCGTGTTGATGATGGATGTTGCGGCGGAGAGATTCGCGGGCTTGAAGTTCTCGGTGTAGGTGAAGTTTTGGAGCATGTAGTTTGTAAGGAGCGTGGAGTTGCCGATGGTTTGCGCAGAGAGGTAGAGGGATGTGAATGCCGCGAGGAATTCGCGCTCGCAGGCGCTCATTGCGAGGGGGAAAAGCGCTGTTGCGCTGAGAACGGTTGAAGGGCGCATAGTGAGGGATGATGACGCTTGCAATTGAGCGGCAATGTAAAGTCAATTGACAGTAGTGTTGTTCCTCGCATCTTTCTCAGCTTTATGAAAGATTACAATAGCCTTTAGACTGTGTGAACTGCCGTTGGAAATAATTTAGAATACCATGCTCGAGCATGGGTGCGTTGCGGATGGACCTGCATGGACGTTAATATGCGAATAGAGTGTGGGGCTTGTCGGCATCATGAACGACCCTTCATCCACCTCACGTCCATCCCAAGCTAACTCGCAGCCCGTTGAGGCCAGAATCATGGTCCGAGCGGATATTAGTGTCGAGTTCATCTTTCATGCCTGAAATATCAATGCGGAGGTTAGTTATATCACTATACAGTGAGAAACAAGGTTACAAATATTCTCCACGTTCGAAGCACTAAGCAGTGCAGCTATCCGTACTACCCATTCTGACGGAAAACCCGCCTTTCGCAATCATCCTTTAGTCTTGTAAGCCAATGACCTTTTACCGTGATCTCGTTCATATGCGCAATCCCATAATCAAGAACAAACAAAGCAAGGCCATCGGGCGGAGAATCACTCCTAAATCTGTAAAGCATGAAATAGAAGACTCCAAGCCCTAAAAGACGTCAAGCCAAAAAGGCTAATAACAAGACCACCCCTCGCCCTCATCACACACGTCCTCGTGGGCCGGATCGACCAGACTCATCGGAGAGGTCATCGGGTGAACACGCGGGGGGTTGGGGTAAACGTAGTTCACACCGGAGAGACCTACAGCGGGAGCAGCGCGTTGTGGATATGGGCTGTGGCTGCGGCTACGCCTGCGGCGGGTAGCACGTGGGAGCTCTGTGGCACGCTCAGGCTCCTTAATGACTGGCTGGTCGATTTCGTCCTTGCAGTGCATGTCCTTGGCGAGGTCGAAAGCGTCTTGAAGGCTGATCTTGTCGCTAAGACCTTTCTCTTGAGCCCATTTCCAGATCTTCTTCATACCAGTGCTGCTCTCGATGATGTTCTTCTCGGGACCGGAGACGTCGCTGCTGTTGATGGGAATGTGGACAGTCTTGTCGCCGGACTCGACGGTGGCCCAATAGGTGACGGTATAGCCAGTAGATACAGGAGCTTCTGGTTCGGGAGCGTTGTTGGAGTCTTTAAGGTTGCCAATGGAAGCCCATGCGTCGTCTCCTGAGCTCTGTGGGCCTGGTCCAGTAGATCCCGGATTACCAGACGCGGAGTTGGGGCTTAGAAATCCAGCAAGGTCATTACACTCGTATTCCCAACTTGACGGAGCCCACAGGAGATCCCATGGCCCACCTGAACCGCCATGTCCGTCACTAATCGCAGAGGGGGCTGCACGAACAGCGCCCATCTTGTTCTTGGCCTTGTTCTGGTCCTTCTTGGACTCGTCTTCCTCTGTGGAGCTTGCGATGTCCTTCAAAGGTCGGAGTACGTTGAAACGGTCGGCATCTCGCACATCCATCGTTGATCCAGTAGGCTCATGGTTGGGAAGAGGTGTGAAGGCTTGTGAGGGATTACTGAGATATAAGGGGTTCACTACGCCGTCTTGAATGGACTGGCGATCCATTTCTCCCACACCACCGTTCTCAAGCGGCGCAAGCCAAGCCCTCAGCATCTGTCGGATATGATCAGGACTGCGGGCGTTGCGGTACATGGAGACAGCAACAACCAGATTCGCGCCACACATACGAAGGATCTCAAAGACTTCATCGCGCGAGAAGGCGTTGGCAGTGAAGTCCAGAAACTCGTGTACCATCGCGTCGTCCGGTGCGGGGGTGCTGTCGGCAGAAGCAGAGCCGGCAGCGGTCTCGACATCAGAAGTCTTCTCTGGCAGACCCTTGTCCATAGAGAGAAGGTCGGGAATCGAACCGGCGTCAGAATCGCTGTACTCTTCCCCATCTGTGCTGAGAGCATAGTTGAGACCTTCTACTGATACGCGAGCCTGCTTCTTATGTTCCGCAACAGTCGGAACGAATTTGCGCGGCTCCAGAGTAGTAGTTCCGGCAGTCGCGTCGCCGTTCTTGACCTCGGCACAGTCGTCTTCGATCTCGAACTCGATATCGGAAATGTCGGAGTTATCTAGAAGATTCAGAAGATCGATGGGTGAGATACCTTCCTTGAGGGTAATACAGCCGACGTTGTGGTCGTGACCCGTGTGGGCATCGCAACGGGCCTCTAGCGATGACTGGCTGGGTGCGTTCTTCTTTGGGTGCGTGCGGTCTAGAAGCGAAGTAGCGGACTCAGGCTTTTGGGCTGCAGGGCCGCTCGACGAAGAAACAGGAGCGAGTTCGCGTTTAACCCAATGTAGATTAGCCATGTTGTCGGCGTCCAGGACAGTTTCGACATCCTGCTCGCGAATCTGGCGGTGGACGTCCTCGAAAGTCCTGAGCTTAGGAAGCGGTGACCTAGATGCCCTCGTTGCAGCGCGAGCATGGAACAATGTCGTGGACAGCTCAGTCGGCCAGACGAAAGTGTCGAAAAATGTCGAGTGGAGGTTTGGTCGGTCTGCAGTTGGGCTATTGCCATCATCATCTCCAGACTTAACCTTAACAGTACTCCACTTCTTCTTCACGGACTGCTCTTCACCCTGATCATCAGCGCGTGTAGCAGAAGGAGAAGCCTTGACTTCCGCCGAGCGAGGAGGAGCAGTGTCGGTATGCGATAGTGAATGTGTCTCAACCTGACGTCGATAGTTCCCGTAGGGCCTTGGAGTCTGACCAATCATACCTCCCGCGACTTGGTCAGGGTGCTGAACCGCGGAGCGCATGTTGTTGTACATGGGGAAAAGATCGACGGCTGAGGGGAACGCCCCGATCATGTTACGGGCACTGTCAATAGACTTCTTCACTGCCATCTCGTGGGCGTTAACCAGCCCTCGGAGTCCGGCGGGTCCGTTGCGGCCGTGTGCGCCGTGTCCAGCGGGATCTTGCTCGTCGTGTTCTTCGCGCTCGTTGCTGAAGGCGTCCGCAGGGCCGTGTTCCTTGTCCTTACCAGGTTGGCCGTTCAGAGTTTGCTCATACTCAGCGTTGAGTTCTTCGATCCGAGCTTCGAGTTGAGCCAAGGCCTCATCGTCGCCACCGAACGCGAGCTGGGACGTCGCACACATGTTAGCCTCTTCAGCGATTTCCTGGAGTGGTCGAAGACCAGCGGTGTTGACCTTGGGAGACATCCTGCTGGAAGGCGATGGGTACTCGTTAGAGCTTGGCGGGGTGTGAGCAGCGGGACTGAATTGATCGCCGCTATCGCTGTCACTGAAGGAGCCGGGAATCCTCATCGGATTGGCTCGACCGAAACGTCCGCGTTGGCGCATCCGGTACATGTCTAGTGGAGTAGCTTTCTGTAGAATCTTCCTAGTTGTGAAATGAAGAAAAGTTGTTTGGAGGCAAGGTACCGCAGTGCTGTCAGGGTGTACGGTGGAGGAGAAGAGCTGGCCGGAGGAGGGCTTGTTTATATGGCCTTAGTGCGTGAGAGCTCGGACGTGGATCTGGGTGAGAGCAGGCGATATCGCTCAAGGACGGGAAGTGAAATATCGGACGTTTCTGGACAATGACGTATTCGGGAAGGCAGACGCGGAGGTGAGGGGCGAGGGAGTGTCGAGCAGGCCATGGTTACGCAGATAGCCGAAGCGCAGAAATGAATGAGCCACCAGTGTATCCCAGTGTCGTTGAACGTAGGCCAAATAATCAGGTTTATATCCCATCACTCAAGCAACGGCCTTCTCTCTGCATCCCTCGTATTCCACCAGAAGAAGCCTCTCTTACGCGTTCCTTCATCCACCTCTTCAACCTCGAATTCTTTCTGCTCGCCATTCACTCTTCGCCACCACTTCCCCCAACTTTCGCCTCTTCTCACCCATACATCTTCAGTTCCATCCTCATGGAGCGCATAGCCGCCTCTACTTGCCTTCGCACCAAAGCCAACCCACTTGATACACTTGGCAAGACTGTACAGCACCAGGACACCAAAGAGCGTACAGAAGATAGTCACGATGGACGTCAAGAAAGTGATTGTAGACACTTGACAGCCCAACCCCGAGGTACGCAGCTCAAAGCGCTCGGATGGCAGAGCGCATATCGAGTCGTAGCGAATGGGTGAAAGAAGAGGAAAAGCTTTTGATAAAGCGTCCGTAGGTAAGGGAAGGCACGTCGAGGACTGTTAAATTGGGTTAGTGATGGTCCGCGGTTTCCCGGGGGTGAATGCATGACAAGTCGACTGAGGAGATGCGAACATACAATCGCACACCACCCGCAATGGCCTTTACTTCGATGACAGTCCCCACAATCATCATAGCCCCAGCACTCGAACAATCGTCCCCAGTCATCTTTAGGGCTGCTTTGAAGCCGTTGATGGAGCAGTTCCGTCACGTTTTTCGACGCGTCATCGTCGTGCTTGGCAGAGGTGGCTGGGCAGTTGGATGGCATCATGTACGTGCGAAGCAGCCAAGACGTATACAACACCCAAGTCACGTAAGATTGAGGGCTGCTACGCGAAAAGAATAATGTTGGAAGCGCAAAAGAAAGTTGGGATGAGATGGTCAATCGGTCGCGATGGAAGGTCAATAAATGCGGGGCGCGATAAGATGCGCGCTATGCCACATTCATCACGCATTTGTCACCTCGGCTCCCAGACATCCTGCGGAAGTCATCAGCTCACAAGGTCAGGCGAGGCATTCAAGACACGAAGTTGCAGGATGAGAGAGTGATATTCACTGAAGCTAAAGTATGTACAAAGAAGATGCCCCAGATGTATCAAATGTCGAGACCGGGGCAGGAGATGGACGTGTGCCCCTTATTTAGGGACGCACTGAGAGAACCATGTGTTGTTCACTGCGCACTTGTATCCGCTGACACAAGCTGTCGGACCAGTGTAACCTTGACCGCCGCATCTGGTTCGAAGTTAGTGTCTGTTCAATGCATGAAAGTTCTTTGACCACTTACTGTTCCCAGGCGTTTGCCGTCTTGGTAGGAGTAGCTGAGGGTGCTGCAGATGTCTTGGTCGGCGCAGCCGATGACTTTCCTGGTGTGGACGATGGCTTCACAGGGGCAGCTGACGAACTAGTCGGAGCCTTGGAGGATGAGGGCTTAGCGGTACTGGCGGATGACGGAGCGGACGACGAAGGCTTACCACCTCCACTGCTTGCACCAAGTGCAAGGATCTTAGCAGCAGCATGTTCTGCTAGCACGACGATGTAAGATGTAGGGTTGGTGAAGATGTGGCTGTGCCATGTTAGTTTAAGACCGAGCTTCGAGAAGAGGAACGAAACTTACCCAGGGAACATAGATGCGTCGACGACGTGGATGTTCTTCGTTCCGTATACCTGAGCGTTGAGGTCTATGACAGCTGTTCCGCCAGTCAGACCGCTGTCGGTTCCGAGCTTCGCGGTTCCGATCCAGTGGTTGGCGCGACGGGCAGCTGGTGTCTTGGGAAGGCTGGCAACGTACGCCTCAACCGTCATATTGGGTGATGGTACCTGGAACTCAATCATCGGGTTCTTCTGGATAGCCTTCATCATACTCTTGATACCAGCAACAACTACACCGGTGTCGGCTTCGTTCTGTAGGTAGGGCGCCTTGCTGACGTAGACGTTGAGAGCACCGTTGATGGAGAGCGCACCACGCGAGGTAGAGCCGTGGCCGAGGTACTGGCTGATAGTGAGGTGGTGGGTGTCGTTGGCACCGGGACCTTCAACACGAGCAGTCCATTGGATCGATCGGTCAATGCCATCACTTCCCTTGATCACTTCCCAAGCGAGGGGACCAATGTTGGGCGCAGACTGAGCAAGGATACCAGAGCGCTTGGAGAGGTACAGGTCCTTGTCGCTCTCGATGGGAGCATCCCACGCCTTGTAGAAGTTGTAGAAGGAGATGTTGGGGTGCTTGATAACGAGGTCGGTGTTGACGTGGTCGTTCAAGTTCTGGCCAACGGGAAGGTTGATCCAGTCAGACTCGTTGATCATGGTCGAGCCATCGAGGGCACTGTTCTTGACGATGCTCAGCTGGTCTTTTGGTCCAATGCCGCTGCGGAAGAGAACCTTGGAGGATCCGAAAGCTCCACCGGAAACAATGACACGGCCTCCAGGGTTCAGATTGACAGTACCGCAGTAGCCAGTGCCGCCAACACCGCTCTCAAGCTCAACACCCGTAGCAGTGTCACCAGTGCGGACGATACGGCGGGCCATGGTGTTGGTCCAGAGCTTGAAGTTCTTCCTCGCAAGGGCGGAGACCATGTAAGTGCCGAGAGGGCCTTGCCTCTGGCCGTTGTCGTACATGAATGGAGAGTGGGAGTAGGTGCGGTTCTTCTGGTTCTGTTGGTCGTTTGCAACGACGCTCTTCCAGCCATCTGCACCGAGCGCACCGGAGAGGACATCGAAGCCTTCCTGCTTGTAGCGCTTTCCATCGACGGAAGGAGTGTCAGTGCCAGGAATGCGCTTGAAGACACGGTCGATTGCGCCCTTGACGTCAGCCGACTTCCAGCCGCTAGGGAACTGGTAGTCGAAATCAATATCAACAGGCTTCCACCATAGTGCAGCGTTGACAGCAGAGCCTCCACCAAGAACACAGCCAGCCATCTGGTCAATGTCGGTGCAAGCAACACCAGCAGAGTCAACCCAGATCTGGTTGCAAAGACCGGGAACGTCGAAGCGGGTTAGGTTGTTGCTGGTAACCCAATCAGGGCCCATCTTTCCACCGAAACGGGCGAGAGATGGCGGGCCCTTCTCGAGCATCAGGACACTCTTGCCAGACTCAGAAAGCTTGTCCGCTACGGGAATACCTCCAGCACCACCGCCAATGACGATGTAGTCGAAGGAGCCTGAAGGAGCAGGTGATCCCTGGCACTTGACAGGTACTGTTGGAGTGGGCGTAGCAGATGGCTGACCGGATTTGGTCGGTGTAGGTGCACCAGAAGGCTGGCCACCTACCAACTTGAGGTAGTCGGTGTACTTTGCGTTCCTCGCATCCGCAGTAGGAGCGCCGAATTGAGACTGTCCCTTGTTGTGGAAAACCCAAGTGCCGTCGTAGATCTTGTCATGCTGGGCCCAACCGATAACGTTGACTTCAGTAGTGGGAAGTTGAGAGCCCTCAGCACCGCCCTGGTTCCAGACCCAGCAGTGCTCGCATCGGTAGACAATCTCGAAGTGTGTGTCGGTGACGGAGTGGAAGATTTGAGTCAAAGTCGCGTTGCCAGTGTAGTCTTCAGGAGCGACATAGCCACCTGCCCAGACAAACTTGGTCTTGACGGCATCTTCTTCCGGCCATGCGACGAGGAGAAGGGAGTTTGGCATGCCGCCAGCATGGCTGACACCGGACCATCCCTGCCTGTTTGCTTCGAGCGAACCTTTCTGGGGAACATTAGCGGCTGCAGCATCAACACGGATCTGTTATAACTTACAATGTAACCAATGTACTCGTCGTTAGCTCCAGTAGGCTCTCCAGGCAGTACCCAACCCCACTCGAAACCACCTGCAGTCTGAGCGTCACTGACTGTCTGGCGCCAGAACTCAATACCGGTGCCTTCGTGGGTGAACGTTTCCTGCGCAAGAGCGAGAGGGGCGAAAAGAGAGGATAGCAGCGAAGCCGCTCGAACGAAAGAAGAGGTCTTCATCTTGGAGACTTGTTACCAGCACGTCGAAGATGAGATGAATTGACAAGCGCAAGTTGTAGCTGTGGCCTCTATCGCTATGCCAGGGTGCGGACGTGTTATATACATATCAACATTATGCTAGACTACGCCGCCGTGTATGGGGTTGACACCCGTGGCCAAGCCACTACCTGGGGAACTTCCTTCTGGAGGCGGCAGAAGTGCGCATTGAACCAGGTACGGAAGACGCGCGCTGGCTAGGATGGGCCAAGCGAGGGGCGTGATTACCGTGGGCGACATCGTCATTGGCTGTTTCAAAACGTAGGTGATCTGGCCGAGATTCAAGGTTAGTCGTTAATATGTCGAAACTACGGCGGCATGGGTGGATTGATTGATGTAGATTGACAGAAGCCGGGACTGCGACTTAGCATCGCCGTTAGCCATGTGCCCCTTGCCCGTTCGGGCCCAGACTTCCCCACAATCGTTTAGTGGCTGGTGGGATGGACCGTCACTTTCGCGCTTTCGCCTCGCATCAGCCTCTTCAAGTGCACCATCTGCACCACCAGCTTCGTCGGAAGGATTATCAAGTCAGTGCCCTTGACCTCGTGCAACCGCCACAGCCTTCTCGGTACCGGCTTCTTCCCGCATATTCCGCAAGGCTGCCCCAAAATGAAGGACGGCTTCCAAGCCTTCTCGCTGACCGACAAGACGCGCACGTTTCATTGATTGAAACACTCGACCAGACCAGTAACACACAATCTATTATATTACGCATTCCTTCTCTCGCTTCCCACATTCCAAGAGCCGCGCCACGGTGTCGCGGCATGTCTCGGTCATATCCTCCTCCCTGTAATTAATACTGCGGTTCTTCCACCCAACCGCCGGTTCAAAGCACGCGCAGTCACGACCGCATTGGTGCTCCTTGCCTATTTGGTATATGCCGAGGGTTCTCTGCGCTGAGGAATCTACGAAGCACGTGTCTCGTGCATACACAGTATATTTTCAAAAGTGCGTTACGGCGGGCGAAATAGATTGGGAATAAAGTGTCTCTGGTCACGCGAGTCTACCGCGAGTCGCATGCGTGCCGAACTGGAAGGTCGACCAGATTTGAACAATAGTGCCGTGTTCCATTTGGACAGCTTGAGAACGGTGCACGACAATGGCATATAGGAAGATTCGTCGACGCGTTGATGAGGACATTCATGATCTAACGTGATAGCCTACATGATGAAGGTCTATGCGGTTACTTGTGCTTTGCTGGCCAGCGCTTCGGCACACACAATTTTCACACAACTACATGTCAATGGCGTGGCGCAAGGACACACTAAGGGGATTCGAGTGCCGGTGAGCATGTTCACAATTCCCATGTTGCTTCCCTGCTAACAGCACGACACAGACCTACGACGGGTAATGCACCCCGCAATCGCCTTTTGAATCCCAACTCACTTGCGTTCTCAGACCAATAACGGACGTTATATCAAACGATGTGATCTGTAATGGCGGGTAAAGCATTACAAAGCGTGGAACCAAGCGCTAGATTGACGCGCATTCAGCATAAACCCCTACAGAACGCCTCTCCCCAAAGACATCATCAATGTACGGTGGTTGCGCAATAAGCAATTACGCCACATGGCTTCGGCTTACTCCTTGTCAGGTCAAAGCTGGAGACAAGCTCACTGCCGAGTGGCACCACACGCTCGATTCCAAGCCCGAGACGGACAAGTCAGATCCAATTGACCCCGGTCATCTGGGACCCATCATGGTCTACCTTGCCAGAGTCGATGATGCCTTGTCTACCAAAGTGACGGGACTCAAGTGGTTTAAGATCTACGAGGATGGTATGGATGCCAATGGCGAGTGGGCCGTTACAAGACTGTATAACAACAAGGGCCTGGTAGACTTTGTACTGCCGTCATGCATTCCCAGTGGACAGTAAGTCATCTCCAAGTTCTTGCCAAATCTATATGGTCGACTGACACGGGTCTTTCCAGGTACCTCCTTCGCGCAGAGCTCATTGCTCTCCATGCCGCCTCAAACTACCCCGGTGCTCAACTCTATATGGAGTGTGCTCAAATCAATGTGACAGGAGGTGGCAGTGCCAGTCCGGCGACTGTCAGCTTTCCAGGTGCATACAAAGCGACTGACCCGGGGATTAAGTTTCAACTGTACTGGCCGATCCCGACCAGCTACTCAATTCCCGGTCCGAGACCATTCACTTGCTCTGCCAAGATTAGGTAGGTAAATATGGGGGACATTCACGCGCACATATATACACTTGTCTTCTTCTTGTTGCGTCAAGTACATATAAAATCCAACACAAATGCAATCTAGTGATAGGGTAGTCGAAATATAGATAACTTTCCACAACACTCAAGACCCATTCAAAATGCCACAAGAATGACTCCCCATTGCCACGCAAAACAAACCATTCCCCATAATCTACTCCGTGTATGCACCCCACAAACAATCTGCCCGCATCCATCTCACATGCATAATGCGTGATCGCAGCTTCCAACCGTGGAACCTTGGAACTCCGTACCTGCGTCAGCAGCTCCACTCAACCTGGAGCTTCCCCACCAACACCTCGTGCCTCCACAACCCCAAGCCCTGCAACACCATTCCCGCAGAGTTACGCCCCACCGTACTCGACAAGACCGAATATACGCTTTGATACTGCTACTCTGGCAAATATCGACGGAATCTGATATACGCATATAGCCATATCGAATATGCACGACGAACGTGAGTGCTCCTCATCCCCGCTGCAATGCACACCCAGCGCAATGCGCGCGCATAGCCAGAACATGCGACCAGCTGTGAGCTCCAATGCGAGGGTACCGCTTGAGAGCATGTTGAGAGATCACTAGCGACCTCGGCATCGTCTCATTCAAGCATGCTCTCTCTGAAGTGTGGCTACCCGTCACATCGCATCCCTCCACCCAGCACAACACGCGCAGGTCTTACTAACACCACTCCCACAGACCCCCACCCCCTTCTCGCCCAAGTCCCCCTAACACTCTCGCCCTTCCTCTCCCTCCCCACATCCGTCCCCCTACCATACTCCTACGTAACCCTCCCGTCGACGCTGCCTCCCTCGATCCTCTCCCAGCAGCAGCAACAACAAGACCCGTCCAACCCTAACCCCTCTGTGTCGAAACCAGCATATGTCACCTCGTCAACGGGCACATCAGCGCATCCAGACCAGATACTCACGTCGTGTGTCGCGCTACAAGAACACCTTGCTAAGCTAGAAGCTGACGCGAGGAGGACGTTGGCGGAGTGGGAGGAGAGGAGGCGGAAGGAGGATCTCGCGGAGAAGAGGAGGGTTGCGCCTGGGTGGTTGGATAGTGGTGTGCATATCATTAAGCCGGAGGGACCTGGCGATAACAATGAATCAACTAAAAAAGAAAAGGTGCCAGAACAGAACCTGATGGATCTAGATCCGCAGGCGGAGCGCAAGGCACAAGAAGGCGAGGAGCTGGACAGGGTGTTTGGCGGATTACAGGTTTAAGCCTACCATCTCAACATCACTATACCCAACAACAAGATTTAGCGACCAGCGGTCTTCATAATAGATTAATACCAAGTTATACAACTATAAGCTATGACATGCTGTTTTAGCTCAAGCCTAGATACGCGTCGCCTACAGTGATCCCCACGGCGGCGCGACATTACAGACATATGAGAACCGAAGTTACGGAAACAGAAAGGGGAATCTTGAAGGAAGAATGTGGAGAATTAGTGCGACCATGCTGAATCGCTGCACCATCTCTGTACGTGCAACACCACCAACGCCAAAAGGTGCGTCTAGCGACGGCCGTGAGAGCGGTTGATGCTTCCCTGGAGGCTGTCCACTTCCGTCTCAAGACGCTTGATCTCCGCGTGGCTGGCCTCGAGGTCCTTGTTGAGGCGGTCACGCTCAGCAATAAGCTTCTGCTCCCACTGCCTGAAGCGCTGCTCCTCAACCTTGACCTGCTCGGTGAAACGCTTGCGGAGAGCCTCTTCCTCCTCCTTGAACTTGGGGTTGTCCAGCTTCCTTGGGCGCGCCTCGCCGAACTTCCTTGTCTCCATTTGGCCAGCGCGGTAGGCCTCGTAGTGGTTCTCCTCCGTGGTGTGGATGAGGTCGAGCATGTGAGTTCGGATGAGAATAGCGCGGAGCTTCTTGAAGTCGCAGTGCTCCTCGTTCTCGACTTCGGCAACACCCCAGGCGTATTGGCGACCCTTAACGGTGCGGCCGTCGTTGGTCTGAACGTCCTTCTCGGAACCGATGACGGAGAAGGGCATGGCGTCGATGAGACCGCGCGCGTGTTGCATGGCGGCAGCGTCGTCATCCTCGAGAGGGGGAGTGTAGATCTTGATGCCCTGAGCATCGATCACTTGGCGCACCTAAAAGCGGTCAGTATTTGCTGGTGACATGTAGATGGAACAACTTACCCTCGCCTTGAATTTGGCCAGGTCTGTTGGGCTCAGTGTGTCGGCCTTGGCTACAACCGGGATCAAGTTGACGCGTGTGCACAGCTTCTTCATGACCTCAATGTCCAGGGGCTTCAGGGTGTGGCCGGTGGGGCGGATGAAGTACAGGCAGGCGTGAACACGGAGATCGATCTTATCAGAGCGGCGCGGTTGTTGCTCCTGAAGCATGTACGACTCATGCTGGTCGTCGAGGAACTCGATGATGGGTTGCCACGAGTCGCGGTTGTTGACGTAGTCACCGAAACCGGGGGTGTCGATAACGGTAAGACGGACTAGGTGCGTTAGCATAGAGAACGAATGGCAGGATGGCGCTGCATACCCTTGAAGAACTTCTCCTCGAGCTCGGCCTTGGTGATCTCAATCTCGACGGTCTTGTCCATCTGCTTGTGGTGTCGTCGCTTGTGGTCGGCGTAGTTCTTGATGGTGGTGGAGAAGAGGGTGTTGATAAAGGTGGTCTTTCCGAGACCAGACTCGCCAGCAACCTGAGCTAGTTAGACTGAAGTCGATTGATATGGGGATGGTATGCGTACCATTATGGTGAAGGCAGCACCGCGCTTTGCAACAATCTTGTGCCTGTGCTACGTTAGGGCCGAAGCTGCGTGTCCGCTGTGTTGATAGTACCTCTGGTTGGGCAGCTGCAATGCATGTCAGTATACGAATTGAAGACATAGGTTGAGCAGAGGGTATACGTACATTGGCAATGCCAATGGGGGACGCGGACTCGGCCATTGCGCTGATGTGTGGTTGACCGCTGGTGTGTATGGGGTCTGCGTGGTGTTAGCTATTCGGGGTCTGATATTGGTGGAGTACGGCGTGAAAACATACGTAAGGTGGCGGATGAAAAGCAAGTCAGCAGTGAGGTTGCTGAACGAGGTGCGATATGGGGTCTGGTGAGGAGGTGTGGTGTTGGTAGACAATTTGGGTCCCCTTTCTGCCAGTCGCCCATTCGGCAAGCACTGACCCTGAACGGGGAAACCGCGACTAATGCACACTACTCACTAGCGCGTCCTGCGATGATCCGAGCTTCGAAAAAGTTCAAGATGCGACCATCATGCCCGCCACGACATGACGAGACCGCAGCCACGATACTCTGAAGATGAAGACTGACTTCCAGGTGAGTTGAGTGCTGCCGTGCAAATGTTCGCGTCTGACACCCACAGTTCTCCAACCTGCTGGGCACCGTCTACAGCAGAGGCAATCTTCTCTTCACACCCGATGGCACATGTCTGCTGTCGCCCGTTGGTAACCGGGTCACGGTTTTCGACCTTGTGAGGTAGGCTCCGAGTCGCGACTGCCTCTCACGATATGCGCTGATCATTAGTCAGCTCCAAATCATACACGCTTCCGTTTGCGCACCGCAAGAACATTGCACGCCTTGCCCTCAACCCCCGCGGAAACCTCCTCCTCTCGGTCGATGAAGACGGTCGCGCAGTCCTCACCAATGTTCCTCGTCGCATCGTACTCTACCACTTCTCTCTCCGCGGCGAAGTCACCTCGATCGCGTTCTCTCCTTCTGGTCGGCATTTCGCAGTAGGCATAGGAAGGCAAATTGAAGTATGGCACACACCATCCACTCCAGACGTTGCCGAAGGCGATCTCGAGTTTGCGCCCTTCGTGCGACACCGGATATACACAGGACACTACAACTCAGTCCAGAGCATAGAATGGTCTAGCGACTCGAGATTTTTCCTGAGCGCGTCCAAAGACATGACAGCGCGGATATGGAGCGTTGATCAAGCAGAAGGGCATGCGCAGACAACACTGGGTGGACACAGGCAGGAAGTAGTCGGCGCATGGTTCTCCAAGGATCAAGAGACTATATACACAGTCAGCAAGGACGGAGCGCTGTTCGTCTGGAAATACATGCTACGCTACGATGCGCCCGCCGACGCCGACCCGGACGACGACGAGAACCTACAATGGGGTATTCAGGAACGCCATTTCTTCCATCAGAACAATGCGCACGTCACATGCGCCAGCTTCCATCCCGAGTCGAAACTGCTCGTGACAGGCTTTTCACACGGTGCCTTCTTCATCCACGAGCTACCAGAATTCGCGCAAATCTCCAGCCTCAGCATCTCGCAGAACGACATTGATTACGTTGCCATCAACAAGACCGGAGAATGGCTAGCGTTTGGCGCGTCGAAACTCGGCCAGCTGCTTGTGTGGGAATGGCAGTCGGAATCGTACATTTTGAAGCAGCAGGGACACTTCGACTCGATGAACACAATCGCCTACTCGCCAGACGGTCAACGGATAATAACAGCGGCAGACGATGGAAAGATCAAAGTCTGGGAAGTGAACTCCGGTTTCTGTGTCGTCACATTCACAGAACATATGGGCGGTGTGACGGCCTGCGAATTCGCGAAGAAGGGAAACGTCTTGTTCACAGCCAGTCTTGATGGCTCCATCAGGGCTTGGGATCTCCACCGGTACCGCAACTTCCGCACTTTCACAGCGCCATCGAGGCTTTCCTTTTCGTCCCTTGCGGTTGACCCAAGCGGCGAGGTCGTATGCGCGGGCTCTATCGACTCTTTTGACATTCACATTTGGTCCGTGCAGACCGGCCAGTTGCTCGACAGGTTGTCTGGCCACGAGGGCCCTGTATCATCATTGGCATTCTCCCCCGATGCTGGCACGCTGGTCAGTGGAAGTTGGGACAGGACTGTTCGCGTCTGGAACATCTTTGCTCGCACCCAGACAAGCGAGCCGCTACAACTAATGGCCGACATCCTATCTGTCGCATTCCGCCCCGATTCGAAGCAAATAGCCGTCACAACACTTGATGGACAACTGACGTTCTGGAACGTATCCGATGCTGCACAAGAAAATGGCCTTGATGCGCGAAGGGACGTTTCCGGTGGTCGCAAGATGTCAGATCGGCGCACTGCAGCCAACGTAGCAGGCACCAAGGCCTTTACGTCGGTGAAGTACAGCGCAGACGGCACGTGTGTATTGGCAGGCGGCAACTCTAAGTACATCTGTCTATACGATGTTCAGTCTGGTGTGCTGCTCAAGAAGTTCACTGTATCCGTGAACCTTTCTCTCGATGGCACACAAGAGTTCCTCAACAGCAAGCTGCTCACAGATGCTGGGCCACAAGGTCTCATCGACGACCAAGGCGAAGCGTCCGATCTGGAAGATCGGCGCGACACAACATTACCTGGTGCGCAAAAGGGCATTGGCGCGCGGAAAACACGACCGGAAGTACGCGTACCTGCTGTCGCGTTTTCGCCAACTGGCCGAGCGTTTTGTGCCGCTTCAACAGAAGGTCTACTGATTTACTCACTTGACAACACGTTCCAATTTGATCCCTTCGACCTAGACATCACCGTCACACCGGCGACAACTCTCGAGACTCTCGCACAGAAAAACTACCTCAAGGCACTGGTCATGGCTTTCCGTCTAAACGAGCGCAATCTTGTTCGCCGCGTATACGAAGCCACGCCCGTGAGCAACGTCGCTCTAGTAGTCAAGGACCTGCCATCAGTGTATCTCGGTCGGTTACTACGGTTCGTCGCCCTACAAGCCGATGAGTCCCCGCATCTTGAGTTCAATCTGGTATGGATCGAGTCGCTGCTCAGCAAGCACGGTCGATGGATGAAGGACAACAAGGGCGGACTTGAGGCCGAGTTAAGAAGCGTTGAGAAAGCTGTTCGCAGAATACAGGCTGAGCTCGCAAGATTGGCCGATGAGAACATCTATCGCATCGAATATCTGCTTGCGCAGCCGCCAGAGGAGAAAGAGAAGTCTGCCCAACTCGACTTTGGGGTCAAAGCGATAGAGAACGGGATATCGGATGAAGAGATGGTTGACAGCGATGAAGGCGAGGATATAGGCGAGTGGATGGGCTTTGAAGAGTGATACCATTGTACGAATACGAATTTTGACGAACTGTTATATCTGACTGTATGTACCTGTCATCGCTGCGGAGTTCCTGCAATATGTACAATGGCGCCTGCGCGTCCCGAGGTTCTGATCACCAGCAACTGCCCTTGCTCGATGTCGCTCTTTCCACACCTTGAACCAGACTGGACAACAATGATGGTCAAAGCGTACATCGCGCGGCTTGATCATGGGTAATGTGCTAGGAAGGTGCGTGCTGCTTACGACGATCGCCACTTCGTCGACGCATCGATGGAGGATGTATTGCGAGGAGGAAGACCTTCTCACACCGCTTCTTGTATACAAATAATCTTGGCATGATCTCGACTCTTAGACACAGCGAAGACGAATATCTACATGAGAGAATTAGGGGTCAACAGATCGTCGCGGGCCGTTTCTTGCATGAGAGTGCCGTCCTTGTCAGCCGCCACAACATTGCCAACCTTGCTACGGAAAGATCCAGGCATCACTGAGACAGTTGAATGATAGGCGGAGATACTACTCAGCATCACCAGACACCGTAGTTTGTATCAGATGTACGTGCCGGTACGAGCCGGTTCAGGCGGTGTAGCGACTTCAAGTATACTGTCTGAGATAACTCTTAGATAGTAAAAGCTGCCAGTATAGCGCTTCCTGTCAATAGTTAGGTACAACTTCTTGCTCTCTCCATACAATGACTACCTCCTATGCTGAGTGGTAGCTTTTCTGGTTTCAGACATCGTGCACGAAGACAGCAATTCATGGACTCGAGGGCTGTATCAACGGACCAAACTCCGAATTATAGTCTAGATTTCTGGTAAAAGAGGTGAGAACGGGCCGAAGTCTACAGCGTGCCGAATCGTCCAAAATAGTTAGGTTCATGCGCTACGCAGCATTACAGCCGTAGCGCGCCATATCAATTTTATGCAGGTGGGAGTAAAATGCACACAATTCAAGCCCTTGAATGTAAGCACCCAATTTAACAAATCTTACCAGGAGATACCCGGCCAAATTTGAAGTTCAAACTCTATCTGAGCAGTTCCTTGGAATGGTATGGCGTACCACGCGCGAGACGGGAGACTGTGGCTTGCTCGTGGCATACAAAAGCTGGCGACCGACCGCCTCAGAGAATCACATCTCTACTCAGCAGTCTACAATCACTGTATCCATAACCCCCCAGCACCCTAACATCATTCACTATGAAGCTGTCAATCGTTGCCGCAATGCTATTCACCTCACTCGCCGCTGCCGAGATAAGGTACTTTTGCCTGAAAGGTGGAGACGCGATCCCAAAAGATGAATGGAGCTGTTCTACTGCAGACAACCGAGCATGTAAGCAATCTTTCGTACTAGCCTTTTCTTTTCTGGTCACTCGCTAACGAATTATAACCTTCTGTAGGCCAGAACAAAGGCTGTGCAGACACTTGCTTCCCTGGTGCAGATGCAGTTCAGGTATACAGAGTACAGTTGTATGTATCACGTCGCAGACTCGAGAAAGGTAGAAGCTTACTTCAATTACAGGAAGAATCCAGATGCTTGTTTCTGCTATTGCAGAGAGCTGTAAAGATCGTTCAAGGAGGATTTGGGGTCGGCATGCTCACATGATGTCCCCCAATGATGTTCAAGTACCGCTTCGATCCTACCTCGGCCCGGCGCATGCCGAGCTTGGGTATACCTTGGTAGCGATCGCGTTCATAGTGATATATACCAATACACAAGAACCAAGTTACTATTATCACCTCGTACGATCGTACAAAGGCTTACCCAGATACGCGCTGTGTCAAGAGCGACGTACTGCTAATACGAGGCTGAAGAAACTGTAATCGTCGCATGTGATTTGGCTCCGTTCGGGTACGGCACCTTCCCATGTAAAGGTAGGAAAGAGCAGGGAAGGCACACAAGATGGAAAGAGCGGAAGAACACCGACGTGGTCAGAGCAGTCGCACACCTTGCTGACCCAAACACCACTTTCACGCCACTCACAGTCACAGTCATCACACTTCAGCACACCACGACATCGTTATTGCGCTATCTTCATATCCTCACCATCACATCGCCAAACTCCAGATACTATCGCTATGGATACTTCCGCATACCAGGCTCCGCCCATACCAACTCTCAGGGCGCGGTCGTTTTCCTGCCCCATAGGCTATGGAAAAGCATGTGCGAGGAGATTGCCGGGCGTCTAGGCGGGGTTCGCGCATGATATGTTCCCGGACACACAGAAAGAAGCGACACCCAAAGAGCCTATACGAAGCGATTCGCCGCAAGGGCCTCCATCACCAAAGCTCGCTGAAGCACCCACGACGGTTGACTCACCAACGACGGTTGACTCACCCACGATCGATCCAAACGCAATACACCCAAAGAGGCTAAGGTCGATTCTGACAAAAAGGTTCATGAAGAAACGGTACGAGGCGGGACCCAAAGATCTGGCACCTTTGCACATTGGCCGACATCCAATCCCGTGGAGTATGCCCAACGAAGAGGATCTTCGTATGATCTTTGTTCCAGAACTTGTCGAATGGATACAGTCATCCGACTACCAGGGTCACGCTGCCAATCGCTGCTTTTGCTCCCTCGTTCTGCACATCTTGAGCAAACGTCTACCAGACGACGTCATCCACAACGACCCCATCGACCGCGACGACTTCCGGTCTAGACTTGGTGAACTCTTCTCCGACGACGGAATACCTCTCGACCATCTCCTTGATCACTGCGCGAATGGGTACAACATTCAGAAGGTCAGGAAGGTGCACAAGCGACCAATGACGCATAACACTTAGACGGAGTATGTCGGCATGTTGTGCGAGGGTATCATCTTGATGAACGAGGAGCCCTCCTCGCCCCCGAAAGACAGCCCTTCCACGCCACCGAACGAAGAGCCTATCACGCCCCCAGATGATGACACGCCCAGGGCAGACAAGGGAAAACAACCAAGAGCAGCATCGGCTTCACCAGAGCCTTTTCGAGGGCGTGCGCTAACGTATGAGGCTGACGAGCGGGTAATCTACCGGCCTGCATCAATGGAGGATTGGAGGCGGTGTTTGCGTTAGCAGTATCGCTGTTATCTAGTAGGTACACATCGAGTTGGGAGCACTTTCGCTTTTACTGGGACAGAACTGGAGGTACTTCCGCAATTTCATCTCTTGATTGCTTGCTGCAGACTTTTGCCATGATTTGCCGAATCCAAACCCAAGAAACACTATCACCACCCGTTCATCTAATAGCCTCCATCTCGATGACCCCAGTGATCCCGGCGCGGGTCGTAGCCGTAGCCATACCCTCCGTTACCTTGACCATATCCCGGAGAACCCTGCCCACCATTGCCACGATAGCCCTCGAACTCATTTCCTTGGTTCTCAGGGCGACGAGACGGCAGGCGAGGATTTCGTCGAGGAGGCCCATGACCATATCCAGGCTGTCCAGGATACGCACCAGGGTCTTGAAGGCCCGCTCGTCTAAACTGGTGTCTTAGCCTTTCCATCGTGTCAACGTAGGCTCCGTCGGCCGCGGTTGTCCATCCTTGCGCTGCGGTCTGCCATTCCTGCATCTCCCTCTGGCGCTCGATCCGTCTCCTTGCGCGATAGGCTTCGTCTTCGTCGTTCACCGGTACGCCTCTGCTTCCACCACCATATCCTCTACCGTTTGTGCTGTCGTTTCGTCCATTCATCCGACCATGTCCTCCATTAGCCGGCCCTCTACCAGCTCGTCCGAAACCACCCCTGGTCATCTGCTCCATCTGCTCCTGCAGCTGTCTCGCCATGTGCTCATCCCTCCCCGTATCTACCTCCACCGGCAGACTCTCCTGCAGCCTCCTCGCGACTTCTTCATCTCGGCTCGTGTCCATGATGACGCGCCGAGGTATGGAGACTTGGCCGTCGTAGTTATCGAAGAAACGTTGCATAAAAGCTGCTTTGTCCTTTTCGTTGCGGACTTGGAGGAAGGCGCGGTGGAAGGTGGCTTGGGCGGCGGGCGTGGGGAAGTCGAAGCGGAGGATGGGTGCGGTTAGGTCGAAGTTCTGGAGGGTGTGGGGTGAGGATGTTATTAGGCCTTGGGGTTGGGGTGTGTTGGTTGCGTTGCTCATTTTGGGATTCTTGAGTTGTTATGCGCGTGATATTGTTATCAGTGTGTGGTTGAGCCTTCTTAAACCTGCTCTCTGTGTATTGAGGGAAATTATAGAAGAATGAGTCTATAGGCCGGAAAACGCAGGGAAGATGTACAGCAACACCTGTGACGATGCAGCGAGTGAAATGTCACGTCAGCTGGCATGCTGTGTGACTACAGTGTCGAAGGTTTGCCTCCTGCCTACGTCGACATGTGCGCAGCTTTCACGCCTTCAATATTTCGACTTAAGCTATGATGACATGGAGATCAGCTACTTCATCATCGAAATTTTGTAACGTAACGTCGTTCCCTAGGCTCTACAATGCGATACAAATGAGCATTCAATTGGCACTAGAGCTATTCAGAGTAGACGATCCTTCTTCGAACAACCTAAATGATCTCAACTACACTCTTCTCGCTCGGAAAGAGGTTGTCGATGTTCTTCGCGGTTCTGTTTAGACCACAGCCCTCCCATGTCATACCAACACGTACAAATACGTCCTTTCCCGACTCCAAACGCCGAAGTACAAGCGCGGTCCGATACGAGGACGAGACAGAGAAGAAAATGCATGTCAGATCTGAGTCTTCAAGCGGAGTACCGGGCGCATAAGCGCTAATATCCGAAGTATCCCACCGGACCAAACGATCGCTGCGATTTGGGAAGGTGATATAATCGCGGTCTCTGCCACTGCTTTTAGAGTGTGCCTTGCCCCATACAACCGGCGTACAGCGTCCGAGTAGCCGAAGCATGCCTGATCGAAGTTCCCCGTATAGGTCTGTAGCTTTGGGTTCCACATAACAATCGAGTATTTTCGCAAATGAAGTTTCTGACTCTGAACCCATATAGGAACTGTCATGGGCACCAGAATCCATATATTCGATAGAAGTATCCACCGCAGCCCAGGACCACGAAGGGGCTCTTCAAGTAGGTCGTGGTGCCAGTTTAGAACGAAGACGGGGTCGTGTTGCCCGCCACTGGAGTTGCTCACGAAGATTGCTTCTCCACAATCCAGCAATGTATCTGTCATCAGGCTTCGCGAATCTCTTTGCTAATCCCGCAATGGCCACTAGCTTATCGCCAGAATAAGTCAACTGGCGATGGCTGTATTGCGACACAATGGTCTTCCAAACTTCCCGATATTCCGGCAACGGCAGGTCTGTGCGCATGGATGTCTTGGGCGCTTGCGTAAATGAACACCAAGCCATATCTGTAACACCGCTACACTCGCATTCGTATCCACGCATACACTCAAAAGCTAGTTCGCTATATGTGTAGTGTAAGACGCGGGTTGACAGTAGGCGTTCTTGCAAACCCCAAGCCCGCTTGTTGAGTGGGAACTTGTCCGAGGGCCTTGCAGAAGAGAGTGGATCCGAGAATTCATCCATGTGTGAGCGTTTTTCGCAGAAGATCAATGTAGCTGCCTTGATCCTTCCGGACCGAAGCTCAACTTCATACTCGGTATAGCTTCGGAATAGACCCTCTTCGCCAGATCTTGAAGCTGTTGCTGAGATGGTGACGAATGCGTTGTGATACACTGTGGACATTTTAGATGCTTCGTGTGCCCAGTCATCATGATCATCTTGTACGATACAAAGCGAATCGATCTGCGATCCCGCCATACATAGTTAACGATCTGTTATGTAGCGGGCGGAGGTTGGTGATCTTACCCAAAGATATCGTAAACCCAACTCTCGAACTACCTGAACCGCTTCTTTAAAGTTCTTTGATAAACTCGCAACAGGTATGCCATCGTATCTTTCCAGAAGGGTAGCTTTCGTGGTAGTGAAATGCGTTGTGGTACCCCAGCAATGACTGAGAGCAGCATATCGTCCACTTTGGCCGGAGGTTTCTACTAGCCTGATCATGCTGACGTCTTCAGATGACCGAAGGTCAAGTAATCGTGTCGGTAGGTCTTGATTACCATTGGCACCACATACCGTGTGGTTCTCTACACAGTTTTCCAACAATCTGTTCGCTTTCTGGAATGCCGCTGTGGACCCTGTGTGCTGAGTCGTAGGATGAACCTGTTGTAAGTCTTTCCAGGGTCCAGGAATCGGTTGCCCTAATTGACTTTAGTCATGTACACCCACTGGGTTGCGCAGGAACTCACCATCATCAACAGCACAGATCTTGAGATGTATACCGGTCGAAGGAAATATCAAACGGACGGAGTAACCACGGTCATGTGCTCCATCCACAAAACGAGTGCTAGGATTGACTTTACTGAAGTCGTATACGTTGGGATCGTACCACCTCGTTCCGTTTTGCTGGCCTTGTTCGGGAGAATATGCGAAATCTATGACAAGGATGTCGGGTGTCCAGTCGTGCTTCCCATCTTTGTCCAGCCAGCCACGACAGCCTTGTATGATCGCATCACAGAAGATGCAAGTATGCGCCGAAGCAACAACAGCGTCCCAAGTATATTCCTCGAAAATCCAGTAGCCATGTAAGCTTATAAATGAGTGACACACGCGGCATCGCCCAAAGACTGGTATGGTCGAGGCCGTCGGTGTGATGTTTTTGACGTCAAGTGGGGCAGGCCGCGATGAAGAAGGCGCGTCTGCCATCCGTGCGGTAATGCGTCGCGCGACTACGTTCGAGGAACAGCGTTTGAAGGATTAAGAATACAGACTGTATAGAGCGTGCAGTACCATGACAGCGAGAGTGTACCTGTATGCCATAACACGAAAGCATGATATGCTACAGGCACTGTGCCGCAGACATGCAGCTGCGACAACGGATCACCGTCATACATCCGAGGGAAGTCGGAACATCAACACGGCACCTACATTGATGATAGGTCTCTACATGTGCTTTCTAGTAATTTTTCATTTGAGCGTCTACGGGATGTATGATAAGCTCTAGACCAACACAAGTGCTCAAGCAGCTTCGGGTGATCACGTGGCAACTACCGTCCCGGGCGAGCGAGGTCTCTTCCAAGATTCATACGTTCACCCATCATATGACCAACATATCCACATCGCGCCCAAATTCTTTCGATTCATTCCGTCATTTCTGTATAAGGGAGTACGACTGCCGTCGCAAAGCCATCTTGCGACCCAACCTCTACCGGTCAACATCCGTTTATCGGCGAGCCCGGTCATCCTTCTCACGCGCCCTTACCGCAGCTTTACTATAATACTCCAGTATCGCCAACGTCTCCACCCGATTCCTGCGAATATGTTCGCGAAGCTCTTCCGCAGTCATGCGAGCTCGAATCGGTCTGAGCGCTACCGGCTCGTCGCCCCCGCCACCACGTAGATTAACCTTAACATGCTGCCACTCTCGCTCTTCCGCATCAGACACGACTTCCCAAGAAGAACTACGACTGCGATCCACTAACACAAAGGTATGTTCATCTGGAGATGGTTGTTCTTCTTCCTCGACGGCGGCGGGTAGTCTGAAATCATCCGGGATCCAAGGGTCTTCATACGACGCGACGATTTCGGCGACATCTGGTTCTTGCATCGGTACCATCTCGCTAGACTCAAGGTTCTGATGCTGCGACCTTCGGTTGCTCAATTGACGGATGTATTCGCGGTGGATGGGATCGTCTTCGTTGATCCGCCGTCTTCCATGTCTTGAGCTGAGACGTGGATCTGGCATGTACATACCATGTTCGAAGGGTAGAGGAGAGGTTGGCCGCATGATCTGGCGTCTTTGTACTCGCGGATTTGGCGTATCTAGGAAGTGAAGCGCAGGACCGATAACATGCTCAAGCCGTTTGCGTGAAGCTCTGGTGTCATTGTAGATCGGAAGAGGATTGGCGTGCGCTCTTGGTCTCGGCTGTTCGGTCATGACGAAGTAGAATGAGATCAAAAGAGGTACAACAACAGGTAGGGTGAGCAGTAGCAAGTCGAGCCAAGACTGGTCTTCGAAGTAATGGATAGCCATGATGGCAGCAGAAAAATCAGTAGGGAAGAATGACTGATGCGGCGTATACATATACAGCCGACAGGGCGTTCGTTCGATGTTTGCTAGGCTTAAACAGCACTTCCTCATAGTTCAGAGGAAACGTTTCGTTCGTACGTGTTTGCTGTTCGCTGTCAGTACTAGTCCGAATGAGAAGGAATTGGAACTCATATGAGCCCATTCGAGCATTACGGATAGGGACAATCGTGAGGGTGCGGTGTTTTGCTGTGCCAGCATGGCAATGTTGAACGCAGCCAATACCTGATGCTCTCCCTCGATCATCACCCAGACAGATACGGAGCGCAAGAGATACGCACTCTTTGATACTACGCTTGCGCTATGGGTAAACTGGTGCAAGCATCAAGCTAGCACAACGACCAATAATCCAATCCAGGCATCGGTTCAATGTATCGATCAATAACCCAATCCAACAATCTACTTCTCATCCATGTCCAACCCACTCATCTCCTCACTCAACCCACTGATGTCGCCCAGGCTCAAGTCCTCCGCTTCGCTATCCCCCAGAAAAATGCGTTCAAAGTTCATGTCACCCACATCGCTGATGGGCGCGTACGTGGGATCCGTCATCCTGCGTTGAGCAGCCGCCTCGAATTCGCGATAGTTTTTCTGGATCTCGTCTTGAGAAAGCTCGTTCGAACGACGGTGCCGCTTTGCACTATCACCATGACCGCGCTGCTGAGCACCTAGACCGCTGGCATTGGTGGCAGAGTTTGAAGAAATACTGCCGCTCTCTTCAGATTCGCTGGTGAGACAGATTGGCGAAGGTGATCGGGGGAGCAGTGAGTCGTGTTGTTCCGTGGGAGGCGTAGGAGGTAAAACGACTGCCTTTCCTTTCTCAATAGGAGATCTCTGTCGGTCTTCGCCCTGTGGCTGCGGTAACTTGGTGGCAGATACTGTTGGAGTCGAGGGGCGTGACGAGCCGACTGCTTCCCTCAAACGACGCACAATATCCTCACTATGCCGCAACACATCATAATCACTGCCGTTCACAGGTTGACCGAGTGGGCCGAGTTGTTTGCGCATAGCGGCAACGTCCTGTGCAATCG